GTTTTAGCTCAAACCCAGGACACTGACATAGCCCATCTTTGATGCCTAGCCCTGTCTCAGGTTTTGCAAGTGGCCAGAGCGAGAGCAGAGTCAGACCTCTTGCTCCCTGGGCAGAGCCACCACTGGTGCCTGTGGAAGCCTTGCCCTCTTTTCAGGGCCTTCGTTTTGAAATCAAGACAGTTCTCACTGCTCAACCTTGTATCTGCCACCTGTCCCAATGATTCTCAGGGACTGCCTAAAAGAGTGGGACTCAAAGGCACACAGAACATCTTCACTGGTCTCAGAAACATGGTCTTTTGTAGTGAATCTCCTGATTTATGCATTTCACATCAAGGGCAGACTCAAGATACATGAACTGGCTTTCTTTTGAATGATGCCAAACACGGAGATGTGCCTAGAATCACCCAAGAAGCATAATGTGAGTTCAGTTCAATGACTAAGTTAGAGATATCCCAGAGTAAAACCTTGAAACATGCGTGCTGTGGATGCTCGCTCTTTAGCACCAACACTTGTGCTGTATAGATCCTACTCTACCAGCTACGGTACTTGCTAATGTAAATGTTAGGCAATGCAGCTCTGATCTCTCTGGACTATGACTGAACTTCAGTCTTTCAGTTTGAATTTAGGGCTTGACAAGGATGTGTATGGGGTTTTAAGGTGCCCGCAAACCTAATGAACTTCTATAGCAAAGGCTTCCTGGAACACTCTCATCTCTCAAAATTTCAGTCCTGTTTTTCTCTTTCAAAATAAATTTACTGGACTCCTGCTTATTTGCTCTGCTGTAGAAGAAAAATGTTCTACCCTCACTAACCACTAACTATCTTTGTGATTCTAGGCAACATCTACCCTTACGTGTATGGAATGATTGAGGTCTCATCTCTGTTAAAGTCTACTCACTACTAACCAGTTAAAGAATAAAGAAGAAAAATTTGAAAGTTAGTGTTCCAAATTGAGTAGCTTTCAGAAACTCCTTCTCTTGTTATAGTGGACTTAAGTTCATTGCCTCAATTTATATCAGTGCAGAAGTACAGTACAGAAAAGTGATTCTTCAGGTAGAGAGAATTCATATTCTATTTGTTGTATGAGGAGGTGCTGAGGGATGGGGGGCTGTTTAGCCTGGAGGAGACTGAGGGGAGACCTTATTGTTCTCTACAACTATCTAACAGGAAGTTGTAGTGAGGTGGGGGGTTGGTCTGTTCTCCCCAGTGGAGAGTGATAGGACCGGGGGAAATGGCCTTAAGTTGTGCCAGGGGAGGTTCAGGTTGGTTATTAGGAAGAATTTCTTTACTGAAAGGGTTGTTAGGCATTGGAACAGGCTGTCCAGGGAGGTGATTGAGTCGCCATCCCTGGAGGTGTTTAAAAGATGGGTAGATGTTTTGCTAAGAAACATGGTTTAGTGGTGTTGATAGGGCTAGGACAAAGATAGGACTCAATGACCTTGAAGGTCTCTTCCAACCGAAACTGTTCTATGATTCGATGATTCTGTGATTCTATGATTCTACGAGTCTATTTGATATATTGTAATCTCCAGCTTTGAGCATTCGGGAGAGAAAGGTGACTGCATGTATATTTTCAATATTCAAAATTATGAGATGTTCACAGAAAGCTTTTTCCTAAATTATAAGCAATTTCTGTTTTGCAAACTGTGTGATCAATAACCATAAACATTTTCAAATTCAAAGTCAGAATTGTATCCAGTCTTGATTGGAAATGCAAGTCTACGTGTAGCGTAATTTCTCTATCTGCATGATCAACATTCTTAGGGTGAAATTCATCTCGGTTAACATTAGGAATATAAAATGTAGGTGTCTACATCAGAGCTAATCATCATCAACTCTTTTTCTAGTCAGTGCAGAAAAAATATGCACTTTCAGGGCGCAAGCTGTCTAATTAATTTTAGACATGTGCTTTAGGATAAGATGAATCATTTCCTCAAAGTGCCTGCTCTTTCCACTGACTATAAAGGAAGTTAGGACGACTAGATGATACATAAATGCTTACCTTTATCTCTCACCCTAAGAGACAAGCTTTGAGAGAATGCACTGAAAAAAATCAGTACTTTTTTTCCCAGCATATTCCATATTGTTCATGCCGTGGTATCTAGAAGCCTGTGCTAAGAACAAGCACAGGAGCAAATCTGGTTAATAATTTGCACTGTTTACCAATTTTGACTGTGATAACTGCAGACTTGTATCTGCCATACCTCAGCAGTTGCTGGTTGAATATTTGCTTGTTTTATCTGACTGATACATTGCAATGGTCGTCACAATTTGTATTTCAAAACCAAACCAAAGAACACATCACTAAGGGTGCTGATTGTCAAAGCTTTGTCAGCTTCCAAGAGCTTGAAGAGAGTTGCAGAGGTTTGCCCAAGCTGAGGATCTGGTACACAGTTATCATGTAATGTACATCTTAAATCATGTCAGTTCACTTACATTCAAATTGTGATACTGTAGTTATTTAAAAATGAGAGGTTTTAATCTGTATCAGTTTCCCTATAATGAGGAGGCAAACATATTTTCATTATCATGTATTGCTGAAGGATTACAAATATAAAAGCATTACTGGTGTCAGGGACCACATCCCTGTTGAAGTCATTGAACCAGCAAGGGTTTGAATCTTTGATGCAAAAAAAAATGGATTAACAGCACCCTCCTCACATCTGTTGGTGATAGGGAAGAGTGTGTTTTCTCCCTTATGCTCTCTGTTGCCCCCCAATGAAATCTTAGCAATGGCATTTAGAAACTGATCTTAATCAGAGTTTGATAGAGTCCAAAATCAGAAATTCATGTATATGAAGGATGAAAACCTGGTCATGGGGGGCAGTGTCTTCTGGGGAGTTGCTTTTTAAATATGATCATTTTAGCTACAGTCTATAAATATGAAATAGAGGCTGGGAAGCAAGAAGAACAAAAGGATAACAGATGAATCATTTATTTACATTAGTAATTTAAAATAATGAAATTAAAGGAGTTCTGAAAAGACACTTATGCCACATCCCTTTGATTTTTACTTTCACTGTGTTGTAGAAGCAAATTGACTTCCTGGAGCAATAAAGCCAGGAATCAGGCATTTCCAAGTCTTAACCCAGATTTAGATATTGAATCTTTGGGTGTCTTTGGCCAAATTATTTAGTCCTTCAGCAACTTATCTCTCCTCTCTAAAATGTGATATTAGGTATTATTGTTTGTTTCTTTTGTAAAAAAAAGCTTTAATTTGTAGTGAAACTATTAACACCATTTTTACCAACAAAATATTCTGTCCTTATTTGTGATTTTCAGCTTGTTAAATAAGAGGCATTCCATCTTAGAAAGGGCAATAATATTGACAAAAGGTGCAGGTTGACATGGTTTTTGTCTAAACCCTGCCATATCAGGACTGTAGCGGCTGAACATCATGATTGTTCCCTTTTTGCATCACTTAATGTTATATTTTGGTTAAACATTCAAGGGCAGCCTCACTGTCCATTCTTGCTTGGTCCTCATTTATGCCCATTCCCAAAGTCTTCAGCGTATTACTAAGAGCTAGATAATACTCATAGTACTTGACCACCTCAAGGACAAACATCTTTGATCCCAGGAAATGAAAGCCCATTTTGATTCATAAATTCTGCACCTATTTAAAATGAAAAAGTAGATCAGCAAGCAGACTTTACAGCTAATGTGTGACGTCCTCCTTCTGAATTTGTATCCCATAGATAATTGCTCTGTTTTATAAAATAGTATGAAACAGTAATATTTTCAATCATACAGAAAATACTCGGATTGCAAGTTCATTACTTTACTCACTTTCATTTTAACTTTATCCCATGATTAAGCATCCGGAAAGTTACAACTGCCTTATCGGAGAAAGACTCTCAAGATCATATTACTGATGTTATATGTTTCAGGGTTTATATCTATTTGGCTATATCTTTTTCTGGAGAAAACAATATGACATAGTTTTTTTCTTTCTTATGTCTCTCCCATAGATTGTGAGCGTGGGAAAGCACGTTAAAGGATACCATTATATTGTTGCCAACCTGGTAAGATACTTTTCTAGAACTATACCCCTGCTCGGTAAGTGAAACACTCAGTTTTACTTTGAAGCTATAGCACTTCACACAGTGTTAACCATTTGTCATTAATATGTGGTTGCACGTAATACAATCTTTATGGTGCATAAAAGAACTTGGTTTTGTTGTTACAGCTATCTAGACCAGAAAGGCACAATGGTACCCTCTTAAATTTTACCAAAATCAATGTAGCATAAAGGACTACTAAATGTACCTCGTGGCTTAATTAGAATTTACAGAACTACACTATGATTTTTGACTCATCTTTTTAATATTAGTAACATAACAGTTCTCAACGTAGCTTTTCTATGTCTCCAGGGAACATTCAGTTTGCTTTAAGATCAGCTATTTCCAGTCAAATTACTAGTTCAGTACTTTAAATCTAAACTGCACAGTCACACAGATAATGTTCAGAAAAGGGCAAAGAAAGAGTAAATGTAATATTTTATTATTAAAATAACCTATTCTTTAAGCCAAAATACCTGCCTGGCAAAGCACAGTGAATATAGAACAAAGTCTAATGCATGCTTTAAATTGTTTTATTTTTTTTATCCCTCAAAGATTTTTAGTTGAGATGAAATATTTTATTGTACTTTTCTGTACTAGTACCTTAAGTTAAAATCACTTCAGATTACTTTTAAGTCCTCAGGCATTTGAAATGAGACATGTCTATTTTCTTAGGTCTTATAAATTAGATTTTCAGCATTACAAATTTATAGTTCCTCAAGAAACTTGTCCCATGCAAAATAGTCACTGTAAGCAACAAACTAGATGTTGCAGTGAACTGCTAGTGGGATGTACAGTGAGGACAGAAAAATCTACTCAGCTGCTTCAGCGGGGACACATGTCACTACTGGCTGTTCAGAAATGTTGGTAATAGGACTTCCTTATGCATCAACTTTTAGATTTACTGTCAGAATCCTTTAGGACATAAATCAAATCCCTGTCTTCACAGTTTTTTTCCCCTAGGATATTGGATCAGTAACCTACTTTTTTTTTCCTGAATCTTCATTTTTTAAGTTGTGATAGTATACTTCTATTTGCACTGATAAATGGCAGTCAGAGGAATTTAAGAAAGTAACAATATTATACCTCTTTTAGCTACCATCAAACATAGCAACGAGGAGAAGAAGGATTCATGATTACTTCTTAGCTTGCTTTAGCAGTTTGCGTTACACAGTTTCTTGAAGTTCAGTTATGCCTCTAAAGACAAATTTTGCTAAAGAATTTGTCTTTGTATGTGCTGAACAGATTGGCCTGAGAAACTAATAAGTTGGGAAGTATATGTACCTATGTACTTTATTTTTTCTTTCAATGTTGAGGGTCACTCTAGGCTTTCCATGTATAGCAGATCTGAGAGCTACCACCATCCTATTTCACAAAAGTGTTATTCTGACATTATGTCTATTATATTATCTCATTATCTTCAACCTAAACAGTGAACCCTGGAATAAATACATTTACAGAATAGTGTTAGTATTGCAAACATACAGAGGAACAGGGATATGTCATTTAAAGCACTAGTGCAATGCTCATTCAAATCCACCAACTTTGATGGAAATCAGATTAAGGCTTTAATATTCTGCAGGCACTTCTCTGTTGATTCGCCAAAGGCATTTCTTCAAAAACTGTCTGTCATTCCCTGCAATGTGTTGCTTAGCTGTCAAGACCACCCTAGCAATAATGTGGGAAATTTATTTCTTGGATTTATTTCATTCTTTATTACACAAATGGAAATTATTAAGAAATATCCAACATTATTCTCTGGTTTTAAGTCTTGGCTTCTAATGGAAACCTGGTGCTGTACATTCTTTATACTGCCTTGCTGACCTAGAACAGATTGGACCCACAGTGGGATGTAAGGACAAACAAAATCCTAAATTGATTTTCTAGGGTTTCAAAGATATTTCTCTGGAGAGATTTATGCATGGAGGAGCCAACGTGACTGGATTTCAGCTAGTTGATTTCAGTACCCCAATGGTAACTAAGCTGATGCAGCGCTGGAAGAAGTTAGACCAAAGAGAGTACCCAGGATCTGAGACCCCACCAAAGGTATGACACTACCAGAGATATCACTCAGATGTTCTAATTTCTGTTTAACAGTGTTGAATAAATGAATGAAGACCTTAATATTTAGTCAGAGGAGAAGTTGATCTTACTGTTACTGGCAACTAATTATGTCTGTCATTATGACTGTATGATAGAAATACAAATTGCAACAGATTTCGCTGATGTACTTTGATGCCTTTTGTCACTTATTCTCCAGCTTCAGACCTTCACTGACAGGAATTAAAGGTCAAATGCTTAACTGACAACTTAACTTCAACCAATTTTACATAAATTAGCGTAATTATCTAGATTCACTTAGACTGCAGAGCTTTCCTGACAGCTGAATTCTAATGTGAGATATAACCACAATAGTAAGTTTACTACCCTTAGATATTCATTTGGATTTTCCTCTAGGAATGCTATCCACCTCACAACCTGGTGTAGTACTCACTTTCAGGCACGATCTTACAGTGAAATTACATCCCAGTTTTCTCCCTTCCTAATCCCTCATGGATGGATAACAAAATATTTCTCTCACCTATAATTTTCTTGGCAGGCAAGTCACAGCAAAGCTATAAATGTGACTTCATCAGAGTCTGTTGTTATAGGTACTAATGCATATCAGACCTAGCCGAAACTGGGCTCCTTGGGCACTAAGTAATCAGCCCTCCCTTGACTGGGAATGTTGCAGGTTAGCAAAGCCTAGAGAAAGTATCAACGTGGACACTAAAAAGCATAGCCATATTCTGTCAATATTCAGGAAAATAATGTTCCGAAGGGGGAAAAAAACCCAAACAACAAAACCCAAAAACACAGCAAGAATGCTGTGGGCTGTGGAATGCAGATATCCCCAAGTACTGGTGACAGGAACAATTTAGCCTTGCCACATGAACAGGATTGCACTGACTCCTACTGAGAAGTCAGCATGATTAATCCTAATCGCACATAATTTACCTATGGTTAACCAAAAAATTTGTGATTGTAAAGACAATTCATCTCCCAAAGAGCTTATATTATGCGAGACAGAGTGAAGGAAAATAATTAGGCTTGAATAAGTCATTTTAGATTTTGGAAGTTACAGGGCATATCAATAGCAGTCCTGGGCATGTGAACAACTTCTCCTGGTGCATTATGTTCATTAGAGAACCATACTGAGAAAATGCCCCTTTGTTTATGTGGCTCCAAGCTCACACTTGCTGAAGACTTGCTCTACAGATTTCACCTGACATGTTCTCAAGCTAAAGCAGTTACAGTAGCTAGTGCAGAAGCACAAAACTTTCAGTTTTGTCATCCAGAGAGCCAACACTGGTTTTCTAACGGGAAGAATGTACCCTTGAACATGCTTTACAGTTCCAAGAGCCTGGATGTCTGCTCAATAGCCATGCAGTTTTTCAGTTAAGTTTTCTTAGTGGTTTACTGTTTCTCAGTGAGTTACTTCATAAATTGGGCAGGTGGAAGACAACCAGAAAATAATTCAAGAGTTGAATGTCTCCAGTTTAATTTGTTTCTTTTAATAATTTTTCAGAGGCAAATTTCTCAACCCTTAAGAAACACAATTTTAAAGCTGGAACTATTGAAATGTACTCTTCTCAGTCCTGTATTTATTCCTTAGACAAAACTGCTCCTGTTTCTGAGCAGAGTTTTTTCCTAAGTGAAGGTGTAGAAACTGTTGCATAATGAAGCAAACTAGAAATTATATATTACGGCTGATTTTTGTAGACCTGCTAACTCTAAAGTGGTGTGTTTGTCCATCTATTTAGTATACATCTGCATTAACATATGATGGAGTACTTGTGATGGCTGAAACTTTCCGTAATCTTAGAAGACAGAAAATTGATATTTCAAGGAGAGGAAATGCTGGTGATTGTCTTGCTAATCCTGCAGCCCCATGGGGTCAAGGAATTGATATGGAGAGGACATTAAAACAGGTAAGAGTAGGTTTTATTCTAGTGAACTTTGTGAATATTAGATATAAACTGTACCCTATGTAATCTGAAAGCTATTATACACTATGACTGTAATGGGAGAGGAGAAATTTATTTTTTAGTTGCCATTTGGAAACAGCTAGGACTGTTCTGTTTGTTCTGGTTTATCACTTGAAATGAAGGCAGAGAGGAACCACTAATATCTGAAACTACTATTAACTCTATTATGATAGTTGAGACTTCCTCTGCTGAACTGGTGACCTCATCTGTTTCTTCTGCATGTAACCTGGGCGTACAGATATTGTCATTGAAGGAAAAAGGTGTAGCTACACAATCTAATCCATCAAATATGTTTCTATCTTGAATAAGATTTCTCCCAGGGAAATCACATAGGTAGTATTTTTTTCTTTAAGAAAAAATAACTCAGAGCTCTTGTTCTCTGATGTCAGGATTTTGAATTCCTGATGAATATGGATGCCTAGAAAGTTCCAGATCTCTGTCAAGATGATTTAGCCTTTCCTTTGAATGGGACAGTAAGAAAATAAAAATCTAGCAGTAGAATTTAAATAATTGCAAATGAGCAGGCCCCACTCAGAAGAAACTGCTGAGGAGAAGTGACTGCTGACAGAGCTGTCAGCTCTGTGCCTGGAAGCCAGGGTTTCAGTCCTGGAGAAAAATCAGCAGAGATAGAAATGGATGGAGGGAAGGAGTAAGTGGCTTAAATCCACGTCCTGACTCTTAGGGATAGAAATAAAGCAGTTTGTATGCTTCATTTACTCCCTGAAGATGCACAGGTCTGTAACAATTGTGAGAAGCACAGAATCAAGCTTCTGTTAGAACAGACAGACTGAACCTTCAAATCTGGCCAAAGTGGTTTGCATGGCCAGATCCTGATACAATCAAAGCCAGCAGCAATATTGCCATGGCTTCTTTGGAATGAGGACCACAGTCTGGGTATCCTTTGGTGAGTCAGTAAAATACTGAAAGAAAAAATAAAGAACTCTGGTCTCAGATGAGACACAGGTGGTGAAAAACTACTTAATCTTGCAGCTTTGCATCTGTCCTTCTCTCTGAAGTTTTGAAAATGCTCCTGCAACCCCTATGCATGTCACTCATCTTCTGTGATGATAGTAAATTGCTTTGCTGGGGACAAAGTGGTTGTCTAGTTTACCTTGATGAGCAATATAAGCTCAAATTATACATTTAATCCACCAGTGTGTAAGCTAAAAAGATACATGAGCTGAGGCCAAACATCCTTTGGCTTTATTTCATTTAATACAAAATATTCTGCAATAGTTATGAGAATGGTAAAAACATACATCTCCTTAGGACCCGCAGCTGGAAAGTGTTGAGCTGCACGGCATGCAAGAGGAGAAAGTCCATTGTGTGTCTTTGTTAGCCCTTAGAGGCTGACATATCTAAGCCTATTTTGAGCTTGGACAGGAAAAAGGAATACAAAGGGAAAGTAGCCAACTTTTTTGCTTTATAATGCCAGTCTATTCTTGAGTAGTGTTGTTATAGGAACCTAAGGACATACCCAGGGTAACTCTCACTGCTCTGTGACATTTGGAACAAAGAATATAAGGCTGTATCTTCATGATGCTTATTCTTCTATTTGCAGGTTCGAATACAAGGATTGACAGGAAATGTTCAGTTTGACCACTATGGTCGCAGAGTGAACTACACCATGGATGTCTTTGAGCTGAAGAACACGGGCCCTCGGAAGGTATAAGCTGACAATGTTGACTATCCTGATATCATATAAATGAGCTATGTATGATGTAGTGGTTAAGCAAACTTATATTAAACTGGACTTGCGTGGTTTAAAAAAATAATAAATTGGGTAGTATTTCTGCTGGAAGCAGATTTAAGCTGCATTTTCTACTAAATACTGTTATTGAGTGCAACAAATTGAGGAACACAAAAACAAGTGTGTATTTTGGAGTGGTAGGATATCAGGCAGTCACACATACTAATAAAAACCAGCTGGATGACATGTTGCTAAGTTTCTGGCTGATGGAAAATGGTCAGAACTCTGAATAGTAGATATTTCTTGTATCTTGACCAAAGATTTCAGTCTTGCAAATTACTTTCAGTCCCCAATTCTGAATTGTAAAGGAAGGAAGCAAAGGTGGAAAAGATGTGGTTAATTAGGCCACAACTTCAGTAACTCATTAGGGAATTTGCTTGGCAGCAAGCTGTTGAACATGACCTGTTGTTTCTGTTTCAACATTTGTCACCTATTTTGGGAGACATGTCTGGCTGGCAAAGTTGCAGGGATGTCCTCACCCTCTTTTCTTGCCTACAATTTTATGGGAGGGTGGCTGCCAATATAGGAGTTATGTTTGTATTCTGCTAAAGGCTCAAGGTACTTTTCTTAGCTTCTCAGGCATGCCTCTCTGCCACTCTTAAGCCATTACCTGGCTTTGATATATCAAGTCGTAACAGCTTTGACAGATCTGGCCACTCACAAGAATATATTTCTCATGTATTACGTAGCATTTTATATGTGATCATTCGACCAATTCTGTTCTCCAGCCTGACAAATCCTATATAATAACGTGAGAAATGGCTATACTTAATTGAACTAAGAGGCCTTCACTTTCAATATCTTCTCCTGTCCTACATAACATGACTTATGAGTCACTCAGCAATATCTTTTCAGGACTAGCCTTTCCAGTCAGAGTAATACATGCATCTAATCTTTAGGAAAGTGATTTTTGTTGCCCACAGCTTTAAGGATGTGAACAGAGCATCACAAAATGGCACAGCTAGTCAAAGGCAGACTTCCATAGTTCAGTAAAATGGGAAACAATAGCCAATGCTCATAATAGTTTCATTTATGCAGTGTTTCTTACTTGGTTCTTGTCCGCAGAACACATAGAAAAGCTGCAGGTGAAGGGAAAAGGTGTGAGGAGACGGGTCATGGAGATATAGTGGGATGATGGCTGCTGTGACTAGAAAATTGCACTGGAAGGATCCACGCTTTTTAGGAAGGGCACGCAGAGAAGATGAGAGCAGTGTTCCCCTTTACATAAGAAAGCAGCTGGAGTACATGGAGCTCTGCCTGGGGATGGATAAGAAGCCATCTGAGAGTTTATGGGTTAGGATTAAAGAGAGGACAGGTCAAGATGACATTATAGTGGGTGTCTGCTATATGCCATTTGATCAGGAAGAACGAACAGATCAGGTCCTCTACAGACAGATAGGAGCAGCTTCATATTCACAGACCTGGTCATCATGAGCGACTGCGAGCACCCAATGTCTACTGGTGAGACAGCACAGACATAAGCAATCCAAGGGTTTCCTGGAGTCCATTGACAACACCATACTCCCGCAAGGGATAGAGGAGCCAGTGAGGAAAGTTTCAGTGCTGGACCTACTACTCACCAACAAGAAGAGGCTTGTTGGGAACGGGACATGAAGGTCAGTGAGTGTGAGATGGTGTAGCTCAGGAGGCAAGGAAGAGAGTGAAAAGCAAGATTACACTTGAGGCAAGCAGACTTTGGCCTCCTCAAAGATCTGCTTGGAATATAAGGAGTAAGGCCCTGGAGGAAAAAGAGGCCTAAGAAAGCTGCTTAATATTCAAGAGTCATCTCCAAGCTCAAGTGAGTTCCATTCCAATGAGTAAGAAGTCAGATAAAAATGCCAGGAGGCCTACATGGATGAACAAAGAGCCCTCAGCCAAACTGAAACACAAAAAAGAAGCATACAGAGGGTGAGAGGAAGGATGGGTAACCTAAGAGCATCCAGGGAATGAAGTTAGGAAAGCTGAAGCCCAAATGGAATTGAATCTGACCAGAGATATCAAAGACAACAAGAAGGACTTCTGTATGTACACAGGTGACAAAAGGAAGACTAAGGAAGATGTAGGCCCTTTGCTCAATGAGACAAAAGCCTTGAGTACACAGGGCATGGAAAAGTCGGAGGTACTGAATGCCTTCTTTGTCTTAGACCAGCCTTCAGGGGGCCGGTTAGCTCAGTCAGTTGAGCGTGGCGCTGAGAATGCCAAGGTCACGGGTTCGATTCCCACTTGGTCCCCATGTGTTGCCTGATCTACTCGACAGGTGGCATCCCTGGCGACAGTGAGGCTGGATTAAAATGATCTCTAAGGTCCCTTCCAGTCTAGGCCATTCTATGATTCTATGAATCCCAGGTTGCAAAGACAAGGAAGAAAGTCTGGGGCAAAGAACATGTACCATTGGTGGAAGAGGATGAGGTCATGGAATATTTAAGCAAACTGCACATACATAAGTCCATGGGCCCATATGGGATGTATCCACAAATGCTAAGGGAACTGGCAGATGTCCTTGCAAGGCCTTTCAGTAATCTTTGATTGATCATAGTTACTGGGGGAAGTGCCTAAATACTGGAGGAAAGTAAATGTCACTACTGTCCTCAGGAAGGGCTAGAAGAAGAACCCAGGGAACTGCACCTTTATTCCTGGTAAGGTGGTGGAGCAGCTATTCTTGCAAACCATTTCCAAGAACATTAAGAGCAAGAAAATCATTGTGAGTAGTCAGCGGGACTTGTGAGTAGTCAGCTGACTTCACCAAGGGGAAGTCATGCTTGATCAACTTGATAAACCTGTAGAATAAAGTGACCAGTCTGATACATGAGGGGAGAACAGTAAATATTGTCTACCTAAACTTCACTAAGGCCTTTCACGCTGTGTCCTGTAAGATCCTTCTAGAGAAGCTAAATATGTATAGGCTAGATAAGTAGTGAGGCGAGTTTAAATCTGGATGAAGAGCCAGGCTCAGAGGGTACTAATCAGTGATCTGAATTGGAGGCCGGGAACTAATGGTGTGCGCCAGGTCTCAAAACCGGGACCCATTTAACATCTTCATTAATGGTCTGGATCTGAGACAGAGTGTTCTACTAGCAAGTTTTCCAAACTGGGGGGAGTGGCAGATATGCCAGGGCATAGCGCTGCCATACAGAGGGACCTTGAAAGGCTGAAAAAATGGGCAACATGAACCTGATGAAGTTCGACAAAGGCCAATGCAAAGTCATTCATCTGGAAAGGAACACGCCCAGGAATCAATGCTGAGAGCTACTCAGCTGGAAAACGAGTTGGCAGAAAGGGCTCTGAGGACACCAAGTAGAACATGAGTCCGTAATATGCTCTTCTAGCAGAGGCAGCTAATGGTTATCCTGGGTGGCGGTAGACAAAAGTATTGGCAGCAAGTCGATGAAGGTGATCCTTCCCCTCTACTCAGCACTGATGAGGCCACATCTGGAGTGCTGTGACCATTTCTCAGCTTCTCAGTACAAGAGAGATATGGACATAGGATCATAGAACAGTTTTGGTTGGAAGAGACCTTCAAGATCATGGAGTCCAACCTTTGTCCTAGCCCTATGAACCCACTAAACCATGTCCCTCAGCACATGATGGAGAGAGTCCAGTGAAGGGCCACAAATATGATTAAGGGACTGGAGCATGTCTCTGTAAGGAAAGGCTGAGAGAGCTGAGACTGTTCAGCCTGGAGAAGATACTAGAGGGATCTTATCAATGTGTACAAGTACCTGAAGGGAGGGTGCAAAGAATATTGATGCAGGCTCTTTTCAGTGGTGCCCAGGCACAGGACTAGAGGAAATGGGCACAAACTGACACACAAGGTGTTTCCCTTGAGTATCAGGAAACACTTATTCTGTGAGGGTTAACAAGCGCTGACACAGGTTGTCTAGGGAGGTTGTGGAGGCTACATCCTTGGAGGTATTCAAAAGCCATCCAGACATGGTCCTGGGCAACTGGCTCTAGGTTGAGCAGGAGGGTTGGAACAGATGACCTCCAGAGGTCCCTTCCTACCTCAGTCATTCTGTGATTCTGTCATTCACCATTCATCATGTCACCAAGATTTTATTTTCCTTTTTTTAATAAAAAAGAAAAAATAAAAAAGGCATATACCATATATATGTGTATATGTACATGCATAAGACAGTCTAAGATCTGATTTAGCTCCTAAATTCTGACTTGTGCAACTAACATGAAAATTGCTTATCAAAAATTTTCAGTATTCTATTGCCCCCGGTGACCTGTGGGTTTCCGCACTTCAATGGTTGCTACAAGGCACATAGACCTTGAGAAATGACACTATTCATTCTAATGTCAAACTGTGGTGTCAAACTTATTTTGAGGCAGATATTTTTGCAATAGTGTTTACTAAAGAAAAATTCAGCCCCTGTAGCCTCTGTATAAGTGGATGCAAATGTCATAAAGTCCAGCTGTATTCCAAATAGAAGAAGATGTACTTTAACAGCTGAATCAATCCTATCCTTTGAGGAGTTTTTTACCTTGGGGATTTAAGGTATTTATAAGAAAACATATTGTTATTTAGTGTTCTCACAGTGATCATCAATCTATATCCTTATACAAGTGTCATTATACAGTTTATACATTTATTCAGTAATCTAATCCCAGAGTTACTTTAGTGCAGATTTGAGATACACACATGAAAGCTCACACTGATGCACATGACTAAAATTCCTTTTAAAAATGCCTGCCATTCTTTAAAAATCTCCTTTATCTCTGTCTGCATTTTCATATGGTACTTAGTTTTATAACACAGTACACGATTCATTTTCTGCTTTCCTTCTGAACTTGCTAGCAGTGAGGATTTTCACATTGAAAAACAATCATTCACTTTTATAATGAGCTTCCCAAATTGCTGAGTTTTGGTGCACATATTCTGCCTTCAGCTGGTCACAGGTTTTGACAAGAGCTTGACATTTTCAGTTATCAGTTGTATCTGTGACTATGTTTGTCTGAATGAAAATGAATATTTGTTAACTGTGCATCCTACTAGGAGGAAAACCTCCCCCTCCACTGTATCGTCAATGTTGGATTCCTGTTAGCTGCAGACATCTAAATCAAGGCTCCTGTGCTGTAGTAGAAATTGCAGAGAGAAAAGGAACATTTCACCTAAATATACCAGAAGTTGTGCATGGGAAGTGTTTGTGCTTATGTGCTTCATCAATATAGAAAAAAAGTCACTCTTATACAGTCCTACTGATTTACTGATGTTGAATTACTTCATGTATTTGCAATTCTCTATAGTGAATGTGTCTGCGCACTGCTAAAATGGCTTGCCTTTCCATAACTTTTTTTCAGAAATTAATGAAAAAGTAAATAAAAAAATCAAGAGGAAGGTTGGCTGTTTTAAGAATGTAGAAGATTCTTTATTGCGTATGAAACCAGGAACCAAAAGCACTCCCCTGCACTTCTAGACTCTCACATCACATCACTGCATTGATCTGAACATGATGTTTCTCCACTTCATGGAGGCTAAATCCTATGTGATGATGAATTTTAGTTTGCATTCTACAATAATATTAGAAATAGTATTGGCTGCATAACTGATCATTTAGACAGTTTCCATCATACTGCAGCCTTTTTGTCCTCGTCACAGTCTGTCCTTTGGCACTGACAGTCACATCTGAGCTCTGTCTGGAGCCTGCTTTCCGTTTTCTCTTCTGATAAGATGGACAAGGCGTTCCTCTCTCCTAGCTCTTGGTTTCATGAACTCCTAATTAATCAAGGAAGGAGGACAGGGGGAGTTGCTGCTGACTGGTCCCCAGGTGCTTCTGAAAAGGGAGCTGTGCCAGCTTGAATTGCATCTCTTTGATAGGAACTTTGAAAAATCACTATTGCTGCCTGTAGCTTTCCTGGGGAAAAAAAAAAAGATCCGTCTCTTAATTCATTAGGTTCTCAGCAGCCTGGAGAGTTCCTTTGGGTGGAATTAGAGCACTGTTCTACTGAAGTGTTTGTGTTAGAATCATAGAAAGCTTTGGGTTGGAAGGGCCCGTTAAAGATCATCTAGGCCAATCCCCTGCAGTGAGCAGGGACATCTTTAGATCAGGTTGCTCAGAGCCCCATCAGGCCTGACTTTGCATGCCTCCAGCAATGGGGCTTCTACCACCCCTCTGGGCAACCTGTTCTGGTGTTTTGCTACCCTCATCATAAAAAGATTCTTCCTTATATATAGTCTAAATCTACCCTCTTTTAATTTAAAATCAGTACCGTTTGTCTTATCACAACAGACCCTGCTAAAAAAAAGTCCTCATCTTTCTTGTAGGCCATGTTTAAGTATCGAAAAGCCACAGTAATGCCTCCTGAGAACCTTCTTTTCTCCAGACTGTACAACTCCAACCCTCTCAGCCTGTCCTCATAACAGAGGTGTTGCAGCCCTCTGATCATTTTTGTGGCCCTTCTCTGGACTCACTCCAACAGGTCCATGTCCTGCTTGTGTTGAGGGCTCCAGAGCTGAATGTGGTACTGCAGCTGGGATCTCACAAGAGATCACCTCCATCGACCTGCTGGACACACTTCTTTTGATGTAGACAAGGATGCAGTTGGCTTTCTAGCTGCAAGCACACACTGCTGGCTCATGTCCAGCTTTTCACCCACCAGTACCACCAGGTCCTTCTTGGCAGGACTGGTCACAATCCCTTCATCCACAGGGATTGCCCCAATCCATGTTAGGACCTTACACCTGGCCTTGTACCTCATGAGGTTCACCTAAATGTTCATGTTGTATGTTTGACATGGAGCTGAGTGCTGTCAGCACTGGGAACAAGCACTGAACCATTACCAGCAAACTTGTCAGAGGATCCACAGAAAATAACGATTTATTTCCAGAAAAGAGTGCCCAGAAGGGCAGAAGAGAGGGTGGGGGTTTTTTAGTGAGCCACAGGTTAGATATGAGAGAGCAACTTCAGCTGAGGGACCTGTGTTTAGCGTGCTGAAAGGACTGGTGGGAAGGTGGAGTTAGACTTAACTTAACCACACATTTTTGCAGACAGTGTCTGCAACTGGAAGTGATAATGCCTGATGTTTATAGTTGCTACCAGGGATTGGTGTGCAGAAAGGCTCATGCTTATACTTTCTCCTGGAGAAACGAAGGTCTCTGCTAAAGCTTGTATGCCACGTTGGGGTGCCATAAAGTAAAAGAGCTGTAAGTAAGTAAAAGGTCTCACCTTTGACACTGTGTTATAAGACAGGGTTTATAAAAACAATGAAGTACTTTAGGTCTTGTATCTTATTTTGGACATCCTAAAACACAGTCATAGGCTGTGGAGATATTGTGGCAGTATGTGGGGAGTTTTAAGTGTTTGTTGAGCAGCACCCAAAAGCATCAATGAAAGTTTGAAGAGTAATCTCCTTTTCTCAGACCTTTATCCCATCTGCAGCATGCCAACTGCATCCCAGGACCCTCACAGGAGAGGAGGTTTGCTCATGTCTTGTGCCCAGCAGCATCACTGGCAATACACAGGGCACAGCTGCAGGCTGTACTGAGAACCAGAAGTGTGCACTGCAAGTCTGTATGTAAGGGAAGGCTTCTGATTTCAGGCATACCACTTTTAATTTTTTTTTTCTCCATAGGAATACAAGAAGAAGTGATGCAAACCTAGCTCTAGAGTATTTTGTCACCAGCAATGAACAAAGGCAGCTGTTTCATCTTAAGGCTGCTCTGGGAGGGATTGTGGCAGCCTAAATGCAGCCAGGGAGAGGAAAACCTGATTTTTTCACCTCCCTGTAGACACTTACCAGAGATTCTTTTAGAGTGAAGTTACTCACACTATGCTTTAGAGTGAGTAGGGAAACCAAGCTCTTTTTAGGAGAGGTGCTTATCCTGCAAGAGCTGAGTCACTGGTGTTGCCTATCTGTCCAATGAGTGTAAAGAAATCTTTAGTAACAGTTACTAAAGGTCACTTCCAGCAGTTAAGTGGAACAAGCCTGATGTAAGTCCCTGGGCTGGGGTCTCCTGGGAGGCCCATGGTGGAGCGGGGAACTGAGATCAGCCATTGAATTGCCAAGCTCTCGTCCAGATGTCTTTCAGTCCTCCATCTAAGACCAGAAGATCTGGAAGATTAGTGAATGAAAATTTTCTTGTGGAGTGCAAAAGTTCTTATATCTCGTTAATGCCCCAGGAAGGCTTCACACTGTTGAAAATGGGATTTAACTTGTGCCCCTGGTCAAAGTAAGTAGCTCAGATCATTCAGGAACAGCTGAGTGGCCACAATACTGGGCCTGACTCCGTGCAGCAGTTGTGCTGGGTGGTACATACCCAACACAATGGATACGTACCACCGTCCATCTGCCCATGAGAGTAACAGCACTTCCTGTGGTACAAAATTATCTTTGGATCATTCAGTTGTTCTTAAAACCATTTATATTAATAATTAATCAGAATGTAGCTTTTCTACTGTAAATTATATACATTTTGTTTTGCAGGTTGGTTACTGGAATGACATGGATAAATTAGTTTTGATTCAGCATGAGCCTACACTTGGAAATGACACTGCAGCCATTGAGAATAGAACAGTAGTAGTCACTACCATTTTGGTAAGGTGTTTCTTTTTTTAATGCTTATACTGGTGTGTGTCAATCTCATTTCTAGTTATGGTCTAATTTAGTCTGCCAGTTCCTAGGTGAGTGGGAGGATGAGAGCCATAGATCTTAATTATCTTGACTGTCATATCTATACAGAGTCTTTCTGGTATGCATTTAATACAATGATTCACTTGAAATCAGGTTTTTAAAATTGAGTTAGGCTAATTTTTTTTCCTTTATTTAGCCTTTTCTGTTTTTTACTAAAGCAAGTTTCAGAAATATAAGTGAAATCTTTCAACCTCTAATTGATAAATACTGACTCACAAGAAAGCGGAAATAAAACCTGAAACCTCTAAATGACAGAATTGAACAGAGATGTCTGTAATGCCAGTGTACCTTTTTGTTGATACACTGTAAATTCAAAATTGACATTAGCAAGAGCTAAAATTCTTAGTATAGTTCAGTCAGCCAATCAGAACTGGATTATCTACTTCTAATTGTGCACAAAAACATGAATTTAGTAGATATATTTGAACATATTAATGTGTTTATTCAGTATTTCAATACAATTTGCATTTTAATACAATCTAAATAGATGTGGGGGTTTATTTTCCAGTGTTGCTGATGTTTTTAAAGAGTGGTTGCAAAGGATAATGCAATTGCTTCATTCATTTACATTTTTAATACGTAGCTTTTAAAAAACATTGTTTCTTACAAATCTGTATTTTAAACAAAATATTTAACAATATTCCCTCTGAAGTCAGACATGCCCTTTTAAGCTGATGTTTGTCAAAGCCAACCGGCAAAGGGTGACCTTTACCTGACCGCTTTTAAGATTTTACATCTCAGTTCACTGCCCTTTTCACATGCTTCATTTAGACAAGACATTTTAACCCTTTAGAATAAGCTGTGTTTGAAATGGGAAGGAATATTCTGTACGTGTTGTCAAGCAATAATTTTTGTAATGTAATACAGACTTGAAAATTTTCCAAAGGAAAGTGTCAAGACATTTTCTTACAGAAAACTGCAGTTAGTTACTAGATTTCCAGCAGTGTGTATCAGCATTTATGCATTAAGTATGTCTTAACAAATCTCCTGTTGAAGATTATCATTCCAGGATGCAAACCAACCAAACTACTATACAGGAATTCAGAATGTAACTCCTAACCAAATTGTGTAATTTTTTATTTTATTTTATTTTTGCATGGAACATTTAAAATATGTGTATCTTTTTCCTAAAAAAAAAAAAGACTTAGTGATGGAAAAAAAATATACTTCAGTACAGTCCTCCTCTTTTCAGCCTCTGATGAAGAATCCTATTTTAAGAAATTGATCAAGGAAGAAAAGAGTCCCAAGATGCTGCGAACATTCCTAACTAAGGCTCAAGTATTAACCACCAGTCTAGTAGCATTGAGCTAATTTTTCCATATGGATTACTGTTCCTCTGACTGGATGACCAGGCACTGAACCACCAAGAAAAGTTCTGTGACTAATTTGAAATGTGTAGAACAGATGACGTTAACCTTCAACTTTGCCAAGCTGAGAAGAGAATGATGTGAATAACAAGCTTTCAGTCGAAATTTTCCTCTCATGCCAGTCCTGATATCTTTGACTGAAGCTACCATACATGAATACTGTAATTTCCATAAATAGCTCCAAGCTTAGGAGAAGCAAGAAAAAATAATAATGAAAAGTAATATAGAAGGTTCCTGTTTGACAGAAAGGGAAAAAAAAGGAAAACAAGAAAGCTTTTAAAATGTATTATCTTGCCTGTCCTGTTTGCATTGAAGCATTTTGATGTGCATAATAAATGTTATCTTCAAAAGAACTTCTCCAGTCCCTATACTGAAAGGACTGGTGGGATCATTTTCAAAACCAAAAAGCTGAATTAATATTCCAAAGCATTCCTTATGTTTATGCAGCATGTCATTTTGGGATAAATGCAGTTATTTGAAAGCAGCACTGTTTCTTGACGAAAAGTGTCTGCTTTCAATGTTTCAAAATCACAGTACAAGAGAAATAAATCAGAATTTGGTTTGAATAAGAATATATGGTGAATTCTGCCTTACCATGCCCATCTCCCATTGACTTCTCTGGGAGCGGCACACATGATGCTGAAGGCAGATTAGAACCATAATTCTTAATACTGGCCTGCCAGGGCGATGTATTTACCTTCCACAAGTGTATGATCACGTGCACAGAGAAAAGATATTTAGCTAGAATAACTTTCAAAATCCTGTTATTTTGCTCTTCTCTGTATTATAGTCATGTTGCAAATGCCACTTTTTCACCTCTCCATTGCCTTCTTCACATTGAAGGAAAGTTGAACCATTGTAGATGACACATAGAATTTTGGTTGCATGCATTTTTTCCAATATTAAACTGAAAAGCTTCTGCAACCAGTGCTGTTGGGCTTTTCAGTCTTCAAAGACAGGTGACATGCCAGCGTAAAAGTTTACAAGTTTTCAGCATGGCTTGCTTTAATTTTTGCCTGAAGCCAAATAGCGTAAGTTGATTTGCCTGCTGTTTATTCAGTTTTTATGTGTCTATGCTTACTTTGCTCTAATGTGACTGTATGGCTATTGCATAGAAGGTGCATTATGACAAATTAGCTCTGCACTCAAAGCACTTAGTATAGCATTTTCTACTTGGAAAAAAAAAATGTTACATTCATTTGTAACGTGATGAGGGCACATAGAGTTTATTTTATGGTTTTGGTATTGTGCACAGGCATGCAATCTGTCTCCAGTTAGTCATGTGGTGAAGGACCAGTCCAGAGAAGGGTGGCAGCAGAGGCAGCTGATGTGCTTTGCTCTACCACCTGCTGTACAGCCCTGCTTTTTATAGTTCCCGGGAGAGACCTGTGTCCTGCACCTCGTGTGATGCACAGCCTCCTGCACATCTGGACCTCTGGAAAGGATAGATTTTCTGCCTGTGTGCAGAAGCATTCCCTCCAGGGATGACTTGGGACTTCCAAGGGCACAGTAAGCTCATTGTATAACCGGAGAAAAGACACCATGTGGAGCCCTCATCTAACACTAAGAAAAAGTGAGTGACTTAGCCAGCTAGGAGATTGATCATCTGTAATTTACCAAGTTACGAAATATAGTGACAAGTTGTGGAGGTAGAACACAAGGGAGTAGACTAGGGAGACTACTTTCAACTCTCTAATCTCATGATACAGCCATCTGTGTACCTACTATGAGATTGCAAAACCTAAAAATCACAGAAGTCTTTTAGAGCCAAACTTGATGTTACATGAGCTGCATCTGCACAGTGGCTTCCAGCTCAATATTTTAGTGGGGTAGTCTTGGTGTTAGCAGATGGGGCTTCAAGGGCAGGATCCAGTTCCTAACTGAGTCACCTAAATGCGGGTGACTTTACAAAGGGTTGCATGGTTTTAAGCACTTGGTGGCATTTAAGATGCTCTAGGATGTACTTCTTAGCCCCATTTCTTGCACTGGCAGGATGACACTTGCCTGTCTCATGCCATATACGACTGCTCCATCTGGATGTCTCAGCTAGTGTTTGTTGTTTCAGGCATATGGGATAAATTGTGCCCTAAGCATGTAAGTTCATCAAAGTCCACAAAGATTTAGAAATCTATTCAGTGGCCCATCAGTAGAGGCCTAACACTGAGGATATCAGATCTGTCTATAAAGGGGTAGCACAAAGGACCTGCAGAATGGCACTTGGAGGTCAAGCATGTTACTTTAGGATGTCTCAGATGACAGATAACTTTCATTAGGTGACTGAGAACCACTCTCATTGTTTTGACTGATATACTCTTGGAGTCTTACCTCAGAAATTCTAACTATAACCTTCTTTATCATAATAGAAAAATATTTTTTCATTCTAAATTTTATTAAATAAATTCTTTAGTAGACTGGAGAAAAAATAAAGTTCGGTGCATGACAATAACAAAGACTTCAAACTGAATCCTGGACACTTTATTCAGAAAAAAAAAAAAAGAAAAGCAAAACACAAAACCAACCAACCAAACAACAAAATATCTAAAATGAAAAACCTTCTAGTGACATCTACAGACGTTTATTTCAGAATAAAGTGTGATAATGTGTGCCACTCCTATTCTAAAAATAAGACATTTCCTTGCATAAATATTTGTCACTTTTACAAATTATTTTTACAATGTTTAAAGATTTTGAAATGAACTTTAGAATGGGAAAGCCAAACATAGATCTATTTGGTATTTGAGTTAGTTACTCTCTCCAGCTTCCCTTATAATATGAATCATCAGTTGTGAGCATTTTACTGTACACATGAATTTGTGGCAATGTGGTGGAATGATTTGTTTACATCTATAAAGGTAACTGTGGCAGACATCAACTTGTATTTTCAAATGTTAAGTATTGTTATAAAATTGTGAATTATATAAGTAAAGCTTGCACCATTTCAAATATCTGTTCCGTGCTAGTCATTGATCATTTCAATGTGCACTTTTTCCTGATTCACTACCCCATAGAATACTATTAAGCAGCTGAAATCTTGCAGATGTTGTGGTGTTGAACCTCATTCAGCAGTAATTCAAACCTGTGTTTTACATCAGTAGGTTAAGAGTTTATAGTTCAAAAATGTAGTAAATATGAAGATTGTGGGGAGAGGTGATATTTTTATTAGACAAGTTGCTGTAACTGGAAACAGTGAAAAAGTGTGCGTACTGTTTTCAGCTACTGCATCTGATCTAATAGAAGATATTTCCTCTCCATATGTGTCTTGCATCTCCTGTATCTTTAGACTGGCATGGTTACACTAACATTGCTACTAATTTAGAAAATGCTATTCTAATAGATTATACAGAAAAAAGTCATCTTTCAGTGCCACAGACAGATAAGAGGATGAAGATATGGCTGAGTACATGCTATTGATCAGTTCAGATAGTCATGACTTTGCAATGTGACTCTGCAAGTTCATCTATGTAAGTTGCTTGTTAGCAAACCAGTAAAACTTGCTCTTCAGTGCCCTGATGTTATGGTAATCATATCTGTGTACCTTATTAGTTTGAAACACACCCAAAGACTAAAATGGGCAGAATTTAAAACTAGTGCTGCTATTTGATTTTTTTTTGCAAACAGTCATGATCAGAAAGCCACATTCAGTCCCATCCACATCCCCCCACTAAGTTCTACTTTGAAGATACATCTGTTTTTAGTTAGGCGGTAAAGAAGGCACAACAATTAAAGAAACTGTTATGTATTCAGTATAAAATAGGTAGGAGGGAAAGGACAATATAGAAAGCAAAAGTAGTAGGTGTTCCTATTATTTATAATTGTATTCTTTCACACTGGCCCATCTCACACAATTGCTATGTCTTTTAAAGCAGCCACAGCAAGAGGTACTACCTATTTTATAAGAGAATTGCATTATAAGAGATGTTTCTCGCTGTATTTTGCTGTAAATCAGTAAGATAAGAAGTGGATGGGGAGAGAACCATTGTGGGTCCTCTAAGTCACCTAACAGATCCCTGCCAGAACTCAACTTCACTTGATGGTCATTGCTTGCACCGACCAAGGACATTACTGGATCCCACTGCTTTCCTTCTCAGTGTTCCCTCCCTAAACTCAAGAGGAGGAGGGCTGAAGTTTATTCAGCCTTTAGCAGGAAAAATAAGGCATCTGTCACTTTTCTATGCAGAGACAGTTGAAAAGCTTTTTTTGTAGCAGCCCTGTAATTGATGAGGGGCAAGAAGAAGCACAGTGTCTGGATTTTGGGAGAAGGAACAGACTGACCCGGCCTCCTCTGTGCCTGTCTGCTTTGTGTCTCTCTCCAGAATTACTTCCTGGTGTGATTTTAATTATATGCCTTTGGCTTAGGTTTTATAAGAAAGGCTGAATCAGAAGAGCTAGCAGTCGCTGACTCTGGTCTTTGAAAAAGAAAATTGCTTTTGAGGTGCAGCAAGCAAATATAACTGAAGTTTATAAAGATAGTCCACAAATGCAGGATACCATGCAGTAGTTGGTTGTGTTTCTGGCTAGCAGTTGGCTAAATCACAGTCAGGAGACATAGTGGTTTTGCCTCTCTTTATTTTTAACCATTTTTGTGCAATAGTATATGTAGAAAGACCAAAATTCTTCCTCCCATGGGAACAAAAAGCCTACATGATGAAGGAACATTTGATTCACGTGCCCAAAATACTTCCCCAAATCAAACTGTACTGCCAAGAAAGGGCATGGACTCTTCTCCCTGATTTTCTCCCTCTATCCCTCTGGCAGATAGTTGAAGTTAAGCTGCTTTAAGTGAGGATAGGAATACAAGAAATGGTGCACACAGCTGGTAATGCCCAGCAGTTTTGCTTTGAAGATACAAACTGTACGGACAAAGGAGTTGCGTCACTACAGTGATTGCAGCATGTAGTTAATGCTGTATCTCAATGGTCTTCTCAGGACCCATATAATGGATCATTTTGTGATTGCCCTGATTTCAGAAGTCCTTGGCAGCCCTTAGCTATGCAATGCTCATAGCTATGTGCTCAAGAAATGCAACAATCTGCTGCTGTCACCCTCAAATTTCCCTGGGCATTTGTACTTATATATAGGTGAAGGAACCAGGTAGTCAGATGGAGTTTGACTTTGAAAGTGATCATTGGGGACACTTTTCTATGCTACATGGTTCCTTAGCCAAAGGCATGGCCATAATGTGTCAGTGGCCTCCAACGCTGAATTACTGCGAAGGGATTGTGGCCCAAAGAGACATGTCCATAGCAGAGAATGACACAAGAAGGAGACGATGGGAGGAGAGATGTTCTGGGAATACACCTGAGAGTGAAACATGCCTGTGGTACTTAGGAACCTGACTCCGTCTTTAAGAAAACACTTTCCCATTCCCAAACAGTGCTGAATTTAACCTGGAGCCTTTTTCTCACACTGAAAGAAATGAACTGCACAACTTTCTCCACTTGTATAACACCATTGTGCCATTCTTATGCAGAGGTGGGTTCTGGGTAGATTTATCATAGGGAGTAAACTTACATGAGTAAAGGGAATTACCTATAATACCTCTGTTTTTTACTTTTCTGCCTTTTTACCTTGTAGTATAAGGTAAAGATGCTGTTCAGAGTTGCCTGTCAAGTTCTTCTCTGGGGTGGATCCACACTCTGCTAATAGGAGCCACATATTGGTACCCAAAAGAAAAAATTTACCTGACACACTGAAAAATGTCGAGATTGCGTTATTCAGTCACCTTGTTGCTCATGTAATGCCGCATATCCTCCATAGTCAAACACCTAACAGAGGTTACAAAATTGCTACTGTAGTTGATGTAGTTTCAGTGAAGCAGACATCTTCAGACTGCAAGTTTGCCTTTATTTTTATTTTTGTACTAATTATGTACCTAAGAAAGATGTGAATAGGGCAGAGTACTACGTAGGCTAGCGTCAAAAAAAAAATTGCCTCGGCAAGCATGGAGAAAACCTAAGTTGCCAGTATTTTGTGATGTGAATTCAAACAAAAGGTAACATTAGTGGCAAGTATTTTATCTGAAAATGTTTATGAATATGAATTATGTGACGTAATGTAAAATACTACCAGAAAGTATAATTCTACATAACTATTGCTGAAGTCTGAATCCACATAGAGCAAAAAAGAAAAATGTGACCTTGTTTTACCAGTGTGACCTTGGTTCCAAATCACATAAAATTCATTATTATGATGTAGGATTTACACAGGGAGTATAAGATCCACTTTTTGAGAAAGGTTTTACTTGTTTTGAATGGCACTTACCATCCAAAAAGTATTTTGGTAGTTCTTTTTCATGCATCATGTCAAGTCAGTCTCTGCCTAATACCATTCTTGTCCATGCATATTGCTTAGATTCATCCTAAAAGACCTTGCAGAACCTGTGGTGTTTATTTGAAGGGGAAGATATGTGCTTCCTCTGGAACATATTTCTATGTTCTCACTAAAATGTATGTAGCTTCTTAGTAACTATGCATTCTAAATCCTCAGAAAGTAAATCGCTAGATTGTATATCTGAAATTACACAGAGAGTAATCACACTATGTTAAAGGATGTGCTTTATTTCCTGGAGTCAAAAGCGTAAATTATACCTTGCATTATCCCACAGTCATTTGCATCGCATGTGTTCAACCTTTATTCAAGCTTTAAATATAGTATATACTGCACTAAGGCATTTCACTTAAAACAAAATAAAATTTATATTCATTCTTGGGTAGTTTTTGTGTTCATAATTTGTAAGGTTGATAAGTCTTGTGAAATGTATAAGTCAACCTACCGTGTAAATAGAATACCTTTCCAGAAGGATTTCTTTCATATGTTTTAATTGACCTGTGCTAATACTATCCATGAACATTTGATGGAATGTATGTTGTTCAGTCAGTAGGTTACATGTTACTTTTCAGAGTATATTCGGTACACTTCTCCTTTACAGTTTTACTTCTTTCATTATAGGAAGCCCCATATGTTATGTTCAAGAAAAACCATGATACGTTTGAAGGGAATGACAAGTTTGAAGGATACTGTGTAGATCTGGCGTCAGAAATTGCAAAACATATTGGTATCAAGTACAAAATTGCCATTGTTCCTGATGGAAAATATGGAGCAAGGGATCCAGAGACAAAAATCTGGAATGGGATGGTGGGAGAACTTGTTTATGGGGTAAGCATACCAATTTTTGAAGCAGGATTTAATTTATCATAGTATTAGTCATTAAATAGGAAGTATATGTACATTTTATTTAACTTTGGGATCATAGAAAAGAGAGAGAAATCTGTTTCAGATCTCTGTGCTTTCATTTATATTCAAGAGAAAATCAAATAGTGTCATGCAAATTCTTCTATTTATTCAATTATCCATAGTCTACACATTCCTTAAAAAGTCATTGATGTTATAAGTAAAGTTAGAAACTATCTATTCCTTGAACATTGTAAAACTTAGTTGGGAAGGATATCACTCATTTATTCATTTTCATTAAACGGTGGACAGATCTTTTAAATAGGATTCTTGGTCTAATTTGGGAAATGGAGAATCCACCATCATATATTAAACAGGTATAACAAACCACTACAGACAAGTACACAATCAGGCAATCCAGAGTTAAGATGGACTTTTAAGATTACTATCAATAATAAAATTTAAGAGCAAACTTGTTAAGTTCAGCAGATAAGAGCATTATACAGTGATCTGGAGAAGGATTCTTTAGAATAGCGTAACAGTTAACAAATCTGTTGAAACAAAGTTGTAAAATTTAATGAAAATAGTTCCAACAAACCCACAGAAACATTTGCAGTACCTAGTGCTAGCAAAAGTAGAACTCAGAGCTGTGCTTGCTGATGACAGTTGCTTGTATCTGCACTGAGAACAGCGCAGAATTTTAAGAGAAACTTTTCATTTCAGTGATGGAATTGAAAAGCAATACTTAAACTATTCAGGTGAGAACATTTCTTCCAATGAACTCATTAGATGCCTCAACTTCCCTGTAAAAAACAACTGCATTCTGGTTGTTCCATCCACAGTTGCAGTTTTTGCAATTCCAGTGATGGTTAGGGCCACATGTGGCAAGAGCCTGCTGGCTTTTCTAGCAGCTCCATTTCTGTTCCCTTCTGTCAGCTAAGCGTAGCTGGTAAATTTTGTCAAGGTGTTCTTCCATCAAAGTGTTCTAGCATCAGTTCAGGGGACCCCTCAGGATGTGCTGCAGAAGCATGGGAAACGGTGCTCCAGAATTTTGTTTATTTCCCCTCCCATGGGAATGGGAAGCCTCAAAAAATTTTATATATTCTTGGAAGTTCTTGGAGGAACCAACTTTGTGTCTTTAAAGAGTGGGAAAGCTGAATGATTAGCAAGCATGTATATCCACTTTAGTGGCTTGGAAGCAGCTCAGTTCTCAGGATATTATAATTCAAAGTGTTTTCAGACATACTTTGTTAAAATGGAGGTGACACCTTTCTGGCTTTTAATTGCAATAGCAAACACATGGTTATCCATGGCTATGTACTATTTTACATAAGTAAATTATTTTAATCATCCAAGAAATTTTATAAATTGTGAGAAAATTCTGTTGCACACATTCATATTTTAAGTGACCTACCACGTAGTAGAAAAAAAAATAGAGGAAATCTGAAATGGCACTTTTGTTTGGAATTTTTTCTTTCTAAAATTTATCTCATAAAACCCAAACTGCCTTTGTACTAGGCTGAAATAAAAAGTGCTCTTAGGAAGTTCACACAGAGGTTGATGCCAGTACTGGAAAGTGACCTGCAACCGTTAACATAGCTGAAAGCAACAAAAATCACAGACATAGGGAACCTGCTGCAAATCGTCTGCATCACAAGGACATCCCAGAATACACAGTCAACAATTCTCTTTTTTTGTAATGGAAAAGAATGAGGCGAAGTGTCTTTCAAGGTTTGATGGCCAAATTTAAAAGCTCCTCACAACTATCTGTTTAGGAAGGCTGCGTTCTGGTTGTGATTCTGGGTTTGAGGTCTGGGAACGAGCTACAGCAAAGCTCTCAGAGCTGCTTTTTTATTGAAAGAACTAACAGGAGTCTGCTATTGCCCAGTGCATCTCCTCCTGTTTCCAAAGGCTCCTTGAGACTATATCTATCCCAGTATACCAGTGGCACCAGGGAGCATCCCTGGGCATTGGAACTTGCCTGATTAATCTGCTAAATTGTAACAAAGGTCCCTGGTATATTTTTGGCCTATAATTACCGTCCAAAACAATTTCTTAGCTCAGCAGGACACTAGGATGGGGGACAGAACATTCCCTATAAGCAGCTTGAAGGCAGCTGTGCTAGTTTACAGGTTAAATGACTTTCATGGTAGTGACAGACTGTCCTGTGCCAGCTGGCCTTAAGGCCAAGGGCTGCTCCAAGCATGTGTACTTTTACAGCTGTAGCTTTAAAGGAAAACATTCTGTTAACTTGTAAAAGTTTGCTGCTTAAGATTTCCATAGGGAATCCATGAAGATCATCCTCCCTGCAACTTCCTTGAGTCCTTGCCAGATGATTTACAGAGTATTAGGTTTCCTGGCCTACTCCACACAGAGAAAAAAGAAAAATCAGTCAGCCAGAGACTTTGCTGCAAAACTCTGCTATAAGAGGATGTTCATCTTCTCTGCTAGATCCCCAAATCATAAACACAAGTACTCTGAGTAGCTGGCTGTGTTTCAAGCAAGGCTTTTTACATGCAGCAGGATTGAGACAGAATTTGCAATTGAATTAGCAAGTTAACAAGATGATCTGTTTGAGAAACATTTTACAGCTTAAAATTCCTGACCACATTAAAGGATTAACAGTTTTGTGCTGGCCAGGAAGGTTGGGCCTCTTCTGTGCCACACAAAAGGTTCTCCTTCCCCCATGCTCTTTCTAGCATGCCTGAAAGCCTCGGTGACACCAATGCCACTTAGCCCCATCCGTGAGACTGCCAGTGGACACACGTGGGCCAATTTTATCCCATGTCCCCTCATTCTGGTACCTGGAAACTTCAGATACTGCACAGAGCAGCTTGGTTCTTACCTAAACTCTGTAGCTGATTTTTCCATCATGTCGCAGAGGAAAGAGAGTATAAAGTGCTGTGGTGTGCATGCAGTTCTGCTATGACTGTACAGAAGGTCATATTGGGGAGTTGTTTATTTTCTTGTTTTGGTTTTAGTACTCTTAACAACTACCAGGAAATCTTGGTCATTTCTCACTGATGTGTCCAAATGCCTGCAGTAGTCCCTGTGGAACTCTGTAGGCCTTGATATCTAGCTCACAGGTAAAATGCTGGCTGGGATAAAATACCATTAAGCACGTGTAACAAGTATTTTCAAATGCACTGACAGTCAGCTCCAGTTAAATATTCATTCTCCTGACACAGGGTGCTCTTCTTTCACTGCTTAACGCAAAAGGTCACAACTCATTTCTGTTTAAAATCTGAGAAGCTGTGAGCTTCTGAAGTTGAAATCACATCCTGCATGAGTTTTATCAGATAGCTTTACCACCTTCATATAAGCATAGATTTTATTCACAAGGAGATAATAATGTATTCTGGAAAAGTAAAAATCTCTTAACATCAGACTTAATCTTGTTCCATTGTATAATATCAGAAGAATCCAGAACCCATCTGTACTTGATAGTGATGCAGCCTTGATTGAAATGCAGTTATAGATGTGGTTGATTCAAGTGTGAAGTATTATTATTCTTTGTCAAAATAGATTTCACTGGCAACAAAATCATTAATTATTTGCACCATTGTTATATTGTTAATCGTTTAAATCCATAATTATATGTTGTACATTAACTGGGCAAAGCAGAAATGCTGATGATTATCATGCATAGCTATTGTCATTATTTAGCTTTCAACAAAGAGGAGTTTATGTAGGACTTAATGTGGCACATAGTAGTCTTACAAAAATAATAAATTATATGATCAGATTGGGGAGACTGCACTTTTGCCAATTATTTGGCATCTAATTGTGACCAACTCTGTGCTGTCCCTTTTCCTTGACATGAAATGAGTTTATCTAAAATATGAATCATCTGATATTAGATCACTGTTGTAATGGAATGGAATAAGTTCCTGCTTCTTCTCCTCTTTAACTCCTTAAAGTAGTATAGGCAGCTAGTTCTGGTGCAGTTGAAGTTCTGTGTGTACTCTTGGAGCATTTGAATTTGCTAAGATGACTCTTAGCCAGCATTTCCCATACAATATGCAGTGTGCTAATTAGGCCTTTAAATCTCCACGATTCACACTAAAATGATGCTGTCACTTTTACCCCGCACATCATAACGACTAACAACCCTTAAGGACCCTTGTTTTAATCCTGGTAGCAATCTGCAGACAAGAAAAAAGAAGTGTTAGCCAACACTTTTGAAGATCAGTGACCGAGTCTGTCATTTACACTGTGTTAATGAAGATACCATGATGTGACAAATGCAGATATTAGCAGTAATAGATCACAGGTTCCCTGAATCTTTCAGTTAATTCATTTCAAGGACTTCACAGTAGCTGAAATTTAGAAGTATAAGACCACGGCTTTAAAGAAGGAAACAAGTCTTCTAGGAAAATGGTACTTATGAGTGAGATGAAATACAAAAATAGGCAGCAAAGCCATTAACCCAAACCATCTTACAATTCTTAGGCTGTAGAGACTAAATTTAGTTTATAATTTTTAGGATATTTAAAAATACATTTTAGACATGTTATTTTTCTTCATATAATACCTGTCTTCATAAAATACCTGTTTCAGACTTGTGTAATCACAAGACTTCAAGACGTCAAATGTTTTAAATACCTCGTATTACAAAACTTAGGTTAAAATTCAGAGAATTAACAATATCATCATGATGTTTACTCAAGACATTAGTGTCAGAGGTGCAAAATTATGATTTTAATTTTGTTGCTTAAAGTGCAATATCTTTATATAAAATTATGTTTGCATCACAATGATTTCAGAATGACTGAGATAATCCAATGATTAATACATAACAATTTTAATACAAATTTGCATTTTGGGGCTATTGCACTGCAATGAGTCAGTTCAAAATTATACAGCTACCAAAATAAGTTTAAATTTAAACTACATGAAATTAGTTTTAAATTAAATACTTAAATATATATAGCTCAGTATTAGTGTATAAAATAACAAAAATCTATTATTTTAAATGCATTTATCTGTTTCAAAGTTGTGAGATGACAGAAAAGCCTACATTCCAATTTCTTTTTTTCTTTATCACACCAGCTATTTATGTAACACTTGGATTAAACTATTTAAGCACATCCTTAATTTTCAGCATATTTTAATCTTACTGAAACTGATGGGATTTAAGCATACCCTTGTATATTTTGCTGGGCATGAATGCCCTTAAGAGCATCCTAAAAGACAAACAAAGGCTTAAATGCTTTGCTAAACTATGGGCTATGTACTGTGTCTGAAGATGCTACCCCGTAGGATGAATTTGGACCAACTAAATATTTAGAAAAGAAAGCTACAACAGTTCTATAATGTAGATTTATGAATAACTTTTAATCATGCCTGTAAAAATAACTGGGCCTCGAGTGGGGTAAATACAGGCAGATTGTGTCATATATTGAGGCCTGAAGCAGAGAAATGCCACTGTAGAAGGCAAGTTGTGAATCTACCTTATTTGCAACCAAAGCAAAACATTCTCAGATATCTTCAGTTACCCTCCTTAGCCCATCAGCTGTATAAAAGCCCACGTTTGTCACAGAGCATGGGCTCTGCCCCCTGAACCTACTTAGATACAGCATCAGGATTATGAACAGGAGAAAGGTTTCAGCATCTTCTGTATCTGCTCCCTTCCCACTGATGCATCTTTTGTCCCAGTTCTTCCTACAGTTCTCACCTCATGAACTGCTGTAATGACAGCTTTGGCGTACAAGGCAAGGCAAACAAGGCAAGAAGCAAACCTTAATGTAATGATGAGTCCCTAAGGACAGAAATGACCCATGAGCACAGCTACAGTGCCTTACAGTTCATGCAGACATCATTGTTAGGACCCGAAATCACCATCATATCACTGATTAATTCAAGATTGGCATCTTCATCCTCAAAACATATTAGAAAAAACATATTAAAAATTATTCCTATCTCTAATGGGAATGGATTCAGCACATTTTTTATCGTTGTATTTCATTATTTTGCAAAGCTATTTTCTGTATACTTGCCTTTTTGCACTGTTTAAAATCTAATTCATTCCCATTGAACTATCTGTGTGCAGTTTTGTTGCATCATGGCAATAGTTAATCACCTTTGCTACTTCATGCTGTTTGGAACTTCCTTGAGTCTATGAGCTAATTTCCCTCAAAGAATGATCATATCTTATGAAAATATTATAATAAATTACTGTTTCTGGGTTCTTATAAAAAAAATACCTATGCATTCAGTAACAATATGATCATTCTCATTTTTAATTCTTCCCTGAATTCCTTTACTCTAAATCTAAAATAATACATAAAATAATCCACCTACACTGCTGCCCACCTCTGTAAGATTTAAGAATCTTCTCCTTAGCAGGAAAATTAAGTATTTCTATAATTCTGTAAAATAAAAACCTGCAATATGTTTGTTTTATTAAAAGTATATTGAGTATATACTATGATAGAAGGAAACAGAAATATGTTACAAAGAACATTTAAGACACAGTGTCCTGATATTTGTGACATACCTTTGGAATTAGCTGCTTATCCGAGTGTATAAGCCAACTGCCATTAATCTATATACCTATATTTCTTTTTTTCTTTATAGAAAGCAGAGATTGCTGTTGCGCCTCTGACCATCACTTTGGTACGAGAAGAGGTCATTGATTTTTCTAAGCCTTTTATGAGTTTGGGGATATCCATTATGATCAAAAAGCCCCAGAAATCTAAACCAGGAGTGTTTTCCTTCTTGGACCCTTTGGCGTATGAGATCTGGATGTGCATAGTCTTTGCCTACATTGGTGTCAGTGTGGTCCTGTTCCTAGTTAGCAGATTTAGCCCTTATGAGTGGCACACAGAAGAACCAGAGGATGGGAAAGAAGGACCCAGTGACCAGCCTCCCAATGAATTTGGCATATTCAACAGCCTCTGGTTTTCCCTGGGTGCCTTTATGCAACAAGGATGTGATATTTCCCCAAGGTTTGTGTCAAATCTTTTTACATTTGCATTTTATCTTCAACACTGAAGCATAACATGTTACTTTGTTTATTTTCCTGGCAGTGTTTTGAAGTTCATTCTCTAGGAAGCCTTTTCATTATTTTTTTGTTTTCTTCGATAGCTATGATAAGGGCAACAGATAATCTGCTTTGAATTTCAGTCATTACTGTTATTTTACATATGTCAATGTGCATAAACCACAAACAGCTCTCAGAAACATCAGGTACACATGGGGGCAATCCCACCGAGTTGACTTCAGAGGAACTGTGTTGTTGCTAAATTAGTTCCATTGCGTTAGAATTAGGAAATGCACACTATTTTGCTCAATATTGGCCTTGCATAAACAAATGTCCCATTGCTGTTCCCTCTCAAAATCTTCAGCGCTGCTTCCAAAATATGGCTTCCAAAAAATTCTTCCAAAAATGCTTCCAAAAAATTCTCTCTGTTTCTGAGAATCTATGCTGTATTGCTAAGCCATTGTTTACAGAGTGGGTTCCTCAGGTGTATTATATGATCACAGTCCTGAATTTCTCAACCTTTTAAGATGTTCTGGAACCTTAGTGTGCAGTTACTACAACTTTTTAATTAAACATTAATGACCAAATCTTTTAAACCTGAATGCTCCATTTTAGCCATTTACAGCGAGATTTTAAGTGTTCAGCATTGGCGTAACTCTGCTGTTATTGAAGTTAGCAATAAAACTGATACCTATTAGGATGGATCTACATTACTCCTCAATAGCCTTCTCATCAAATTGCAGGTATTAAAATGGAAAATATATTTTTTACTTAACATAAATATCTCTGTTGCTGCAAAATGCTTGCTTCTTAATCAAGAAAAATTGAAATGATTGCAGTAGCTTATAGAATGTTTTGTAAGCTTGGGTGACAGGAACAGTTTAATCCTAGAAGCAACATAATCCATGTGCAAAGCCTTTTGTGTCTTTTTTTTTGTTTAATAGGAAACAAAGAAAGCTACCGATTTGCAGCTGTTATACGTTATTTTTGTCCTCAAAAAGAGATTACCTATCCAGTATTTTTGACAGAATTTTTGCTGTTTGGTATTTTCTGAAATAATAACACCAAAATTACTGCTCAGGAGTATTCAAACTTCAGTATGTGCATGATGCTTATTAATACAGTGGACTCTGTACTGTAGGCACTAAGATTCCAGAAAAAAAGCATTTATTAGTATTCCAAATGCAAATGATCTCCCTCTCATTGACTGTTACTTAATTATACATGTTCAGCAATAATGGTGACTTCTTTCTTTCTCTCTCTTTCATTGTGGCTTAAGAGACAGGAAAATGTGCATTATCTTATTCATGTTTAGATCCCTCTCAGGTCGCATTGTTGGAGGAGTCTGGTGGTTCTTCACACTCATCATTATTTCATCCTACACTGCTAACCTTGCTGCTTTCTTGACTGTTGAGCGAATGGTCTCACCCATAGAAAGTGCAGAAGACCTTGCTAAACAAACCGAAATTGCTTATGGGACACTGGACTCAGGGTCAACCAAAGAGTTCTTCAGAGTAAGTTGTTATGTCCGTTGGAGCAGCTCTACTGACTGCTCTTATAAGATGCTTGGAAGTGTGAAATAATGTTATTGTGCAATTATATGTAATATAGTTTGTAATTCCTGCAATACTTTAACTACATTTCTACCACCACCACCCCTTCAGCAGCATTTGTTGGAGTTTTCAGTTATTTTAATTTGTGGAAATCTTATTGATCATGTCACATTGGGCAAAAGAGGTGTCCCGAGGGTTACTGAAGCCAGTGATAATTAAAGCAGCATTACACTATTGATTCATCTAAAGCTACGGTACTGAAACGATGCGCAGCACTGGACGCCTGTGATAATAACATGGAGTCTTGCAGGTTTTGCTTCAGCTTATGGGTTTGACTGTGTGCGTTTTGCTTTAGGGTCTTTGGTGGTGGGCAGGAAATGCATTTTTTAATTTGCTGACTTTCACATGAGTAATAAAGAGAAAATACATCTCAGGGAGATGTGGTTGGACCATTAGCAAATAGCCTAAATAGCCATTCATATGTCTGTGCTGTCTGTGTAATTACTTCGTTTTCTTTTACGTTCCTGTGTTAGTGTGGTTGATATGTAATCCTCATCATCTGCCAGCTGGAAAACAGGAAGCCTGGACATCACAAGGAGCACATAATAAACCATCCCTCCTGCTTTATTTCTTGTCTCTAGCAGATGGAAGTTAAGCCTAGCTGACTGAACGTGTGTGTTTAGTGTTTGAACGTGGCTCTGAATAAATGCTGTGAGCCACTAATCTTTCCTTGGAAATCACAAAGTTTAGGAGCATTATTTATCTGACAGGTACAGTTTAAGGCATTTTTAGAATAGAGGAAGATGGGATCGTAATTTCTTCTTGTTGTCTGATTGAAAGGGAACTGTTCTGTTAGGTACTCCCACGCACCTTGACTGTTTTCAGTTTGGCCAAACTGAACTCAGTGAATCATTAACAAAACTATGGAAGGGATTTGTGAGCTATAGATTCTATCAATTCAGGGACAGCTGCTGAGTGACCCTCCAAAGGTCTGTAGTGAAATAACCTTTTTATTGCAAGTGACATTGCCATAGAAGAACTTACAAATCTTTTCTATTAGCTGTAAATAGATGATGCCTTACAAGGGGGCCGGTTAGCTCAGTGGATTGAGCTCGATGCTGACAACAATGACAACACCGAGGTCTCGAGTTCGATTCCCTCTCGGTCCCCATGTGTTGCCTGGTCTAGTCGAGAGTTGATGTCCCTGCCCATGACAGGGGGGTTGGATTAAATGATCTCTAAGGTCCCTTCCAACCTAGGCCATTCTATGATTCTATGATTCTAAGTACCAACTGACACTAAGTGGTTGAGCCTTCACATAATGAAGCTGTCCAAGGAGTTTAGTCTAAGCTAGTTTTCTAGATTTCTTCTGTAGACACAGGAGAAAGCAAAGCACTCCTGTGCTTGGTACTTCAAGTTTATTTAATGGATACGATTCAGTGTACACCTGTCTTCTTCTATAGCCAGGGTGTTGGTATACATCTAAATATAAGTTTTACTTTTACCTCAAGGGGTAGAAACTCAGCCTGTGATCCCTAGAAGCCCTGATTTCACACTGGATATCTACAGAAATAGTGACATTAAGATAAAAGAGCCTTGGCTGAGAATTGAAATATTTTGATCCTGACATGGCCAGAATTCCCGTTTTCTTGAAAAGAGTATAATCCCTCAGTACTTATTATTTAAATTCATATATGCTTAACCCATAAATTCTTCTTTAGCTCAATTTGTGGGAAGTTAGGTATTTAATTCTGAGAATTCTAGTTTCAGTCCATAACAAACTGAGGTCGTAACCGCAATTTATGCATTAGAATGATTCTTTCAACCAGAATGAAGCTGTGATGATGTTTAAAAACATGATGCCGAGGATCAGGCAGATTTATTTAACTTTGGATTTATTAACTTGTTGCATTTTTTAGAATGTGCAGTGCTTGCAGGGTTTTTTAGGTGTTGATGCAAAAATTAATTCCCATGGAAACAGTAAATAACAAAGGGATGGGGTTGGTTTTTTAGGAGTTCAAAACACTTGTACAAGCCCTTGTTTTGAAGTAATGAGGTCATGTCTTTTGACATAAAAACATTTTTGGTCACAGAAAAATATGGTTCTTATAAATCAACCTGTTAACACAAATAATTTTTTGACTGAAACTATATTTCATGCAAGATCTCTTTTTAAAGAGAAGATTCTTTGTATATCTATAATGATAGTCATTCTTTCATTTTAATATTATAGGGTAAGGAGAAAAAATAAGGAAAACCAATGTTCTCTTTATATTTTTTCTTTTATTTCAAAATACAAAGGGAAGTATTAAAAGTAGTTACAAATACTAAATATAGTTACATATGCAATACTTGAAGCTTCATCAAGATTTAGACTGTGTGATCCCTTGTTAAAAATGGTGCAACTGAGGCCTTGTAATCAAATTATTTCTAATCTCTGCAACAGTATAGTGATTTTTAATGATATTGTATTTTTCACAAAACAGGGACAAAGATAAAATACCATTGACAGAAAATATTTGCACAAACACTGTTTGCATAACACATAAATTAAGACCTAGCCTGAAACGATAGCATGAGAAAACTTGTTAGCTGAGTCTGACTTTGTGCGTGGTTAGAAGCAAACAGCATCACTTTGGGGATCAGAGTCCTGTGTAATGTTTCTGTCAGTGATTACCATGCAGCTGAAGATGAGCCTTCAGGACATTTTCTCATCATTTGATCATATCTGATCAAAATGTCAGAAACTTGGAACACCTATTTGGTCTGCTTTGATTTTAGGTTGAAAACAGAACAGGGAAAAGTCATTTTAAAGCCAACATAAAGAATAAGATGACTTTGATGCTGTTAGCTATTTACTCTTACTTTCTGTTTTGGACATAGTAATAGTTGCATTTTCTGAGCAGCTTGCTCAAGAGGGAGAGAATTTAGTTTTAGCAGTCCTACTCAGAAAATGAAAATTATCATAGCTTGGCTGACTCCAAGGGAAAGCTGCAATGTTTCCTCATGTGATAATAAGGAATATCTGTTGGTTCACTCTTCAGTTTTCACTCTGAGTTGACATGTAGAAATTGAATATTAAAAATGAAAGTTAGTGAGATGAAAACCAAAGAAAATGTTCTTACTGAGCGGGTACATTGTTAGACTTACTATATTTTTTGTTTCTTGATGAGCAAAGGAAACTAGATCCTAAAAAACACAGATTTAAATGCAATCTTTTTCAAGTGATTTAGGGCATTGTTTCCTCTTACTAATAGAGCTATTTTATGTTGCGTGGTTTTAGTTCTGAAGTGATCTGTCATATGTCTACTTTATAACAAGTCTGATATTAATATTTTAGAAATTACTAGACGTGAAGGCAGATAAAGGCAAGTAAATATTCTTGAAAGGATGCCTGATTCATTACTGCTCTCTTCCTTTTTCTTTTCTTTCTGCAAATTTTAAACCATGAAATTATATCAGTGTAAAGCAGAAAGAATACATGGGTGGCTTAGCTTATGCTCTGCTCTGAGCCACTATTATGTTAATGAAACATAGCTGTGACTACAGTGGAAAGAGGATGACAAGGCAGGGTGTGATTATGGACATACATGGCTTGTTGTTAATTTAAATTTTATTATATTTGGCAGAAGGATGAAATGATGCATATAGACAAGCTAAGAAAGCAATGGCAATTTATGATGTTCTGCTATATGTTATTTTTATTGAGCATTTCTGGTTAAATGCCACTTTCTTTCAAGTTGCAACTACCTCACTGGCAACTTATTTTCTAAGTAATAATACATTCATTCAGTAATTGGTAAAAAGAGGTGCTTCAGGGAAATTACTCTTAGCTAGACAAAAGCTCAGTTGCAGGCTTTTTAAAGCCGTTTTCAATTGAAATAATACTTAGATTATAGGATTTTATATTAATTTAAATATTCTAAGACTTTTTGTTTTGGGTCTTTATACTAATGAATATTTTCCTGGAGTGCTCAGCACAGTGTGGGAATGGGATCATAGACTGAATTTTGCTTAGCTCAAAACTTGTGTTGACTTAAATAAAAGCTGATTTAAGCATTGGGTTAAAAAGTCCTTTTTGCAGCATACATAAGAGAAGACAAGTGCCATCTGTTATTAAAAAAAGCACCATATAATGTTCAGCTGATGCACTGCTGGTTTGCATGTATGGATCCCTGTTGCTCAAGGAAGCAAAGGAGCTGTTGAGTGAATCTAACAAGCTTGGGTAGTTTCTCAGACTGACAGAATTTTCTTCCTTCCTATGCAATTTTGATTTGGTTTTAATTTTTATTAAGTTTTATTTTTGCTTAAGTGTTCAGTTGTGGTTACACCATGCATTCCCAGACAAAAATTTCCAAATAATGCTCTCGAAGCCATGAATTCTTGCACACTCTTTGAGCAAGCACATTTCCTAATCAATTACTGGCAGGATCAGAGTCTTTAAAATAAATCCACTGATACTGTGGTTCTAAAAACATACCTAATACTTCTTCAGGACAATTGGATAGGACATTTTGTTTCCTTTAATAGCATATTTGGTCCAGACTGCAGTTTCTATCTGTTATTGTGAACCATGTCTCAAAGCATCGTACAGCCTTTTTGAATGTAAATTGAAAGAGTTCTCGGCTCTCAATTATGAAGGCAGAAATCTCACTTAAGATATTGTGGGGTTTATGGTGTAAGAAGTGGGTGTTAGAGCTGAGAAAACCTTCAAGATTCAGCTCAGTATTTATCGGGAGATTATTTTATTATTTCTCTTTCCCATACAGGTTTATTATGGATATCTGTTTCATATATCATTCCCTAAAACACACTTTGCAATACTTTGACTGCATGAACTGCCATTATCTAACAGCAAATTCAGGTCTTAGCTTTGCAGTTATTCTATTGTGACCTCCAGTGGCTAACTGGACCTAAAAGTAACATTGATTTTATAGTATAGATATTGTTATTTGTTGTTTCTTTTAGAATAATGACGGAACTCAAATAAAATAATTATCCAAGTATGATTTTCCCAGCCTCAGTTGTTTGAAAAACTAAGTATGATGACTGATTTTATATTGGCACAGTGCCATTCTGAAATGTTGCAACATTCTTTTATTCTAACTTCTCTTTAATTTTCTCCAGAGATCAAAAATAGCAGTGTATGAAAAGATGTGGACCTACATGAAATCAGCTGAGCCTTCAGTGTTCACTAGGACTACTGCAGAGGGAGTAGCTCGTGTCCGCAAATCCAAGGGCAAGTTTGCCTTCCTGCTGGAGTCCACCATGAATGAATACATTGAGCAACGAAAGCCATGTGACACCATGAAAGTGGGAGGAAATCTGGATTCGAAAGGCTATGGCGTAGCCACACCGAAGGGTTCTCCATTAAGGTGGGTGGAATAGTATAACAATATAAAATGTGTTGTTATAGTATTCCACCTTCCCTGATGTCCCTGATATAGCTCTTTTTGTTTTGTGTGTGAACATGGTATGTTATTTTTCTTTTTTTCCATTTCATGTTTTTTTGATCAACAAAGGTAACCATTTCTAATTGCAATATGGATTTAGCAGCTATAGTTCGCACATCTTTCAAGGCCATATAAAAACCAAACTGGTTGAACACTAGCTCCTTGAAGTCAGCCTCAATAGGGTTAATATTTCATCAGCTGTTTTCGCAAAATTCAACCCTTTATCGCAGTATTATGCCTACATTATCTGCATCAGTATCTGCATCAATAATATGCCTACATTTTATGTTTTCTTTATTGATCTTGGCTGCTAATTTCTGAATAAGAAGCTGCTTGTCACATCTTTTTTCAAATGTCATCACGTGGAGGCAATTAGTCCTTCATTAAAGCAACTTCATTAAAGTACTTTTTGTGAAAGCGCCTTCTTATTCAGAGAAAAATGTTTGTGTTTCTAGCATTACGCATTTCAGTACTGCCTTCAAACTCACCAGTATTTTCTTTATCACAGTATCAGACGCTTTCAGTCAAGTAAGGGAGTTTTCGATTCACAGGCAGAACATCTCTTGTTTTCCATTCAAACTGTCAGGGCGACAGAAGTGAAGGTCCTAGGTCTTAAAGTTGGCAGTATTTACCATTGCATTGTCTTTTATGTTTAAGACAAACACCGCTTGCTTTTTTCCTCTGGTAGACCTGCCAATTTTCTTTAAAGCAAAAAAAACCCAAAAAACTAAAACAACTAACAGATGGAAGGAGCGTGGACTCTTACAGCAATAGGACTGTGCAGGTCGGGGAGAAGGAACGGTCGACAGAGCAGCCAGCACTCCACTTCTCAGATGATTTGCACTCATGATAAAGGATTACAACAGGCTCTGATGAAATAGATTCACAAATGAGACAAAATGGGTTGAAGGGAGGAGTTGCAAGTGCAGATGGAGCCCTAGTTCTGTGCAGGAAACAATTAAGGAGGTACCTGACCACATTCATGACTGCAGAGGAGACATCATTGCCACTATGCAGAAAACTAGACTTGCTCTTTACTCACCAGCTTAACCTGCACACAATACTACAAACCTCAGTAGCCTTAACTGTATGACACAGATGGGAATAGGAGTATCATCAGAATCCCCTCCATCCTCAGCAAAAGAAGATTTGTATATACAGAGGAAAATCAGGCCAGTTATTTCAGTGACTAAATATGAATTTTTGGTCCTTGACATCCAGTACCTCTCAGATTTAAAAATTGCCACCTTCGTCACTGAATAAAGTAGAAGATAAGGAGGTGAGAGAGGGAAGATGACAACAATAAAAATATTAATTAAAAAGCAAAACATGTCCAGAACTCATGGGGTTGTTAAAAGTAGAAGGCATAGGTAGATAATAGGAGAGACTGGTCTATTATCTGAGTGTATTTTCAAAGCACTTATTTTTTTATTCTACATTTTTAATAGATTGCTATCTCCTTCTCAGTGTTTCAGCCAACCTAGAAGTGGTAGGCAGCACTGCAGTTTAGTGGAGCTGCTTTCCTATAGAAAGGAAATGTCCATTGCTGACACAGTCACATTTACTGTGCAAAGGCTCGGGCAGACTTTTAGGAATCACATTAGCTGCTGTCATATATGTCCTATCAGTGGGCTGTTTGTTCTAAGCATCCTTTATGGGGCTTTTTAGTCCCTCTCACTTTTTTCTGCAGAGTATCTGACACCAACAACAAGAGACAGGCTGTTATAATGAGCACTAGTTGCCAGGGGAAGCTGGTTTGTGTCTAATTTGAGCTTATTTCAGGTTTGTTCAGTTGGCTAGATAAAATATAAATCTAGGAGTAGTGAGGAAGAGACATGAAGCAGTTAGAAGGAAGAAGGCCTGAAGAAGGCAGTTTAAAAAGAGCAGAGAGGAAGAGCACAACCGTGACTGTAAGGAACAAGTGTGAAATCCTGTTTCCCTCCCAGAAAAGACCAAGCTCCCATGTGTTTCAGTGAGGCCACAGTCTGGTCTAACTGGGGTCAGCAATTATTGTTAGTGATAGGGCGATATGATCAAAAGCATTTAGTTTTTCACATTCTGCTTTCAAACGTGTTTCAAAAAGGGGAACAAGATAAATCCTTCCCAACCCGAAAATTAGACCAAATCTTCTTTCAAGCTGTCTCGACTGGCTGTCCATGTCCACACCTTTCCCGAGCCTTTCTTTCACATGTGCTAAGTTGCTTGTTCTCCTGCTGCACCTCATTCCCCCTCCAGCCCCAGTGACAAACCTCGGGCAACACATCAGTACTGCTTACCTGTTAAAAACATTAAGCAACACACTTAATGTTCTGGACAAAAGTAAAGAACAAGCAACACCTCACATTTGTACCACCTCCTCCATGTATGTCTATAGAGAGTAGTGCTTACTGAAGTGGGGAGAAGCTTCCTACCCCTGTGCTTTTGAACAGAAAAGACTCAGCTGTAAATTATAACTGCATGCTTCAGTATTTTCTGAATTGTTTGAAATTGCAATATGCTGGGCTTGCTATTTTGACTGCATCCCACATGGTAGTGTTTCTGTTACTGATCAGATGACTTATGTAACTGCTGCCTGCACAGATAATTGCAAATATTGAACATGCAGTTTGAAATCCATGAAGGGCATACTAGCTACATTCATTACATAAATTAGTCAAAAGACATAATTTGCTATGGGAGTTGTAAATTTTGTATTTTATTTAATAATCATAATTTCCTATTTACATGTAGACTACAAATTACTTGATGTAGTTCACAAATAATTGCAAGTAACATATAAATGTTAAACATTCACACTCTATTCTTGGACTGTTCAAGACTAGGGAGAAATACCGATTTTTTCAGATGAATTATTCATATCAAATTATTCACTAAACTCTTTGAACACCTATATCACTAGAGGTATTTTAGTCCTAATCCTACTGCTACTTACAATGATTATAAATAAGGGGGTTTTCCCCTGAAAATGTAGTAACAGCTGCATAAAATTTATGTGAATGCATGGAGAACCAGACGATGTATTCTCACACATCTAGAACTGACAGAAAATGGAGTCATCTAAATCAGACTTCTTCCTGTAGCACAGGGCTAGCGATGGTTCCCTACCGTCACATCAGCAGGCTCATGTTCATTACAGAGCACACTCTCATCATGTTGCTCATGCAGATGAAATCCACTGGTGAGAACAATCCAGGGACTGGTGTCTCTGTTGCTCATGACCCTACACATGAGTAGGGTAGTGGATTTTAATTTGAAACTCTTTCTTTGGGGTTCCATGCTACACGCCTGCAGTGTTCAACCAGTACCTATTGGCTGATTGGAATGATTTATTCTCAGTGCTGGTGCAGTATGAGGATTCATGCATATCACTGGATGGAGGAGAATGGGAAACGCCTGATGTGTGTTTCTTTTCATGCCCACCAGGCAGTACCACATTACACATCATGTGTGTCTCCTTCCTTCCTTCCTATTCAGTGATATTCATTTCTATATAATGTGGTAAAAGACTGATGTATTTAAGGACATGGGTTTGAGGGCAAAGGCTCTCATCACAACAAAGATTTTTCTAATGACACTACCCAGGTGTTCTTACTGTTTCCTCCTCCTAACACGGTAGGTATTCTTCCAAAACTACTGTGTAGTAATCAGTGTGAATTAATGAGTTTTTTTCTTCAAAGGTGGTGCTTCCAAAGGTGTTTGAGAGAGTGCTGCTTGTCTGCTTAGCAAGACCTGCCTTTGTAAATGTGTAGTCATTAGAAGACCTTCTCATGGCCAGACTTGTGGCCATTGTGGATCACCCTTGGCTCATCTGCCTTGCTACTGGCAATAATTTGTGTTTCTAGAGGGCGACACCTGGAGATCTTGTACTACATTGCATGCCCCTGCTTTTCTGCTTTAGATATGTAGGCATCATAAACAAGTTTGAGTAGTGATCAACATGAAAGAATTCTTTGCTCTAAGAGGTAATGAAAAGGGAATAGGGGCACTATTGTTATAAAGGTACACTGAAAGCTTTCTCTGCTTTTTGTACCTTGAAGCTGGATGATGCAAAAGTGAAGGACAGATTGGGCTAAAAAATGAGGAGTTGTCGTCGTTGTTTCTGTGACTGTTTTAACTAAGGACATTTGTCTGTCCTGTCCTGAAGCTGACAATATGCAGCGTGAATGCCTGAAACCTGCTCAGGTCATGAGTGTCTGGTGAGACATGCTGAGTCCAGCTTGATGAGAGTGGCTGGATTAGATATAGTCGAATAATAAAAAACTGTTGTGAGCAGATGTGGTGATGTATCTGAGCAGATGTATTGATGTATCTTAGAGACTGGTGATGGTTGTTCACCAACTTGATGAAATCCAGAGCTATAAGTTCCTGCTATTTCAATTATGGTTAATGTTTACAGATTTGTTTCTATTAACATGAGGTGGGAAATGTGGGAATTGCATCAGTGAAACAGGTGATGCAGAGGTAATTTTCTGATCACTCTACCAACTTGTGTGAAGTGCAAAGTACAATGTGAGTGAAGCTATTGCGTTTAGTTTCCATCCCTTGCTAGGGAGGAGTGCCCTGGGGAGTGCTTGGGGTACAAAGGGCATCTCAGCAGTGCCGTGTCTACATTGTATGGCTTCTCCTGTTTTGTAGAATTGTGCAATACATGAAAGAGATTTACCCTAGAAGTGAGGGACCTGTGGTAGAGGGAACCTTTTGTTGAAGAAGCGTGAGTTTATGTGAATAAGGTCAAGATCTGTTATGAAGGGAGTCTTTGTATGCTTTATATATCATCTTGATCTCAATGACTTCATATAGTCCTTGCTTTCCTGCTGTAAATCTCTAAAATTATTGTTCTTTCATTGCTTCATTTCAATATGGTACCAGAGCTGACAATGTTACCTTTACTCTTCGTAGATATATCCAATATGGTCTCTTAGAAATGTCACGTTGATAGAAAACTTATTTTGGTAATTTATGCTCATTCATACAAAACTTT